ACTGTAAGTCATTTCTATTTATTTCCATGTATAAATGTTAAACACTAAATTTAGTCATTTACTCTTCACGGTGGTTCATACCGTGACAAAAAAGCTCCTTGATCATTTCATATCCACAAGGAATGACAATAGTCCTACTCTGAATGTAACGCAAAATTAAGCTTGTCGTGGGAAGATGACATAATTAGCAGACGTAAGGAATATCTACTAAAATCAACTGAGAAAAGTGATAATCAAATTATTTGCGATTAACTAATCCGAAAACATTACCAAATCATGGGCTCCATATCCGCGGTGACAACTTACAAGAATAACTATAAGTTTTAGCATTCAACTTAAACACTATAGCCATGAGATTGCTTAGCCTTTCTTGTAAAAATATTACTAAATGTTTAATTTTAATTCATGAAGCTTCAACTTAATCCTTTTGACTACGGTGAGGTAAATTAATTAATATGCGGTAGCTAAATGACAGCTCAAAAGAACACCCACAAATTTTAAGTAATCAACTTTAACACTATAGCGATGAGGTTGCTTTCTCTTTCTTGTTAAAATACTTTCAAAGATGCTTTCTTAAATTTGTAAACCTTCTTCTTCTTAATCTTTTTGATTAGGTTGACATTCTTTTAATTACATTATAAAAATTAATCATTGGCATCATTAATATCGGACATGAAAAGCAACAGCAATCTAAAACATTGGATCCTTTGTATCCACTTTATAGCCTTTATTTGGCTTTTAGTAACTTGTCGCTGTGAAATTACTGGTATAGTAATCGATAGCAAGTGCTACAATTCTATTTATTTATTTTACTTGCTAAATAACCTAAGAAATTTGTTACCTTCTCTACAGAAACAAGCAGCGGCTGTCCAAGCTTTTGTAACTGCAGCACTTTGTCTATCAATTGCTCCAGTAGTGACTTAATTGAATTGCCCAACATTAATTACACGGACGTTAGATATGTGACTTCACTGTTAGTATTACACCAACAAATAATTTCCGTTTTTTGATTGCTCAATGTCTAACGTCAATTTACTGATGACAGTATTTTAGCACGATCAAAACATACTCTAGAAAATAGAATTCTAATAATTATATGCAATCAAAAATTGTCTACTAGTTCATCGATCGATGCATATGTTTATTGCCATGCTACTCGTTTGTAAAGAAGAAAGTTCAATATTACTGTAGCTGGTGCAGAAGTCTGCAGTAGTAGTCACGTTAGCCAGTAGTATGCGATCTACCAGAATGTTATCAACTAGCACCAAAATGCTTACCTACTTTACATTATATGAAGTGATAATTAAAGTCGCTAGTTTTTTTCAAGAATATTAGAAAATCTTTAAGATTCGTAAGAGAAATGATGTAAAATTTTCATCACTAGACCTACTGTTAAATACTTATTTCAACCATACATCCGATATTTCTCGTCATTGTTACAATTCGCATGTTCTTCAAATATAGCATTAAATGAAGTTTGTGCCATCGATCATCCTATTAACCCTAATAGCTTAGCTTTCTTCACATAGGATAATCAACAACACAA